TTATTTATTTATTTATTTATTTATTTATTTATTTATTTATTTGATTTGATTTGATTTGATTTGATTTGATTTGATTTGATTTGATTTGATTTGATTTATATCCCGCCCATCTGGTCTGATCGACCATTTATTTAGTTAAGTTTTCATGGTTACATTCTTAAAGCATCATATTAAGTTCTTGAAGTTACAAATCGTGGATATTCAATCACCACTGGGATTCTTGAGTGCACAAATCAGTAGGTGCGCGTGAGTGAGACAGAGAGTTATACAGTGGTACCTCAACTTACGAACTTAATCCGTATTGGATCAGATACATTGAAAAGTCTGTAAGTCGAGGCAAGATTTCCCATAGGAATGCATTGAAAACCATTTCATCTGTCCAGGCTGTTTTTCATTCGTAAGTCGAGGCGCTGTTTGTAAGTAGAGGCATGACACTTGATAATATAGTGGAAAAACTGAACATGTTAGGAAAACCGTGAATGGTTTTTATCAATGGCGAATGCAGCCAGATGTGACCTCTTCCTTTCCTTTCCTCTCTCAATCACATCCACAAACCCATATACTGTACCACTCTTCCATCTCTTGTGAACAGAACCATTTGCACACAAATGCACACAGATTGCACTCCTCACTCCTCCCCTACATGCACACAAATGCACACAGATTGCACTCCTCCCCTACATACACACACACACAAACAAACACACACACACACACACACAGAGAAGAAGTATGACAAACCTTTGACCTAAGGGCCATGTGTGCATTCCTCAGCCGTTTTTGTGAAGCCTACACAAGGTGCCTGCCAATCCAGATCCTACTACCATTTAAAAAAACCTTATGTGGGTTTATTTATTTATACATTAATTTTTAAATTACTGGCACAGACACAACAGACCCAAGAGAAGCAGCAGGAGATTTGCTGGTGATCAGATATGCCACTCTGCTGGGGTCTGGAGAGTCCATTGGGTCTCCTCCTGTGTCTCTGCACATACAGAAAATAAAGAAACTAAATAATAAACTGTTATTTGACCTGCATTACAGCATGAACAGTTCAGTGGCTTAGTCTCTGGCTGAGGAGGCAGAGGTTAGCAGTTCGATTCCCTTGCCTCCTTGAGAAGGGGCTAGACTTAATGATCTATAGCAGGGTTCCCCAACCCCTGGTCTGCGGCCCAGTGCCAGTCCGTGGCCTGGGCCAGACCAGGACGCTGAGACAGATCTCCCACCAACCCACACATACATACACCCACACAGCCCCTTCACACATATGCACGAGTGCACACACAATCGTGTGAGTGCCCCCCACTCCTTCATGCACTTGTGCAAGCACACACTGACCCCTTCATGCATGCGCTTGAATGCAGGAGGGGGGTGCCCCACCTTCCCCAACCAGTCCGTGGTGTTAAAAAGGTTAGGGACCACTGATCTATAGGGTCCCTTCCAGCTCTGTAGTTCTGAGGTTCTAAGGTGTACTTGGGCCATTTCTAATGTTTCCAGAACATGTTCCCCCTGTTAGGAAAAGTGAGGCAGCTGCCTTTGTTGACCATCAAGGATGGTAAATTAGCAGTTCCAACAACAACAACACCTATTTATTCCCTGGGAGGACCCCTACCTCCAGTGAGCTGATGCTTTGCGTGGCTCACCAGAGCTGTTTGTTTCCCAAACCCTGGCTTCTAAACTCTTAACTCTAATAGCTTCTAAAATATCCATTTGGTTTTCACCTGCTCTATTATACAAGATCTGATTCCTGCAAAATCCCTGGGTGCTTGACAAGCTCTAAACCCACAAAGGGAGACACTGACAGTACACTGTGACTGGGTCCAATCAGTGTGAAGGTTGCAACATTACACATGCATTCTTGGGACTTCTGACCCATTAAAGGAAGTTCCGGAGGAGGAATCGCAATAAATGTACAAAACATTGAGCACCTCATTTTGTTGCACCCACTTGTGAGTGCAATGACAAATAAATTTCTTATGTCTTATGTCTTATGTCTTAAAAGGCAAGGTTATTAATTATTATAGATTAATAAGTAGCCTCTTCATTCAAATTCAGGCGAGAGCTCCATCCTTTTGGAGTCCATATCAGCATTGTGGAGCCTGGTGCTTTCAATACAGCAGTTGTCAATGTCCTAGAAGAGAACTATCAGAAAATGTGGGACCAGACACCTCCTGACATCAGAGAATGCTATGGGCAGGAATATTTAGATACTTGTGAGTAAATTGGCTCTTATTTCAATCTGTATTTGATACTGAATTAGTGAGTCCTCTTCTGTATTTATATCAGTCCAGAAAAGTAATGGTCAGACCTAGAGATCATTCATTCATTCATTCATTCATTCATTCATTCATTCATTCATTCATTCATTCATTCATTCATTCATTCATTCATTCATTCATTCATTGTATTTTTATCCTGCCTTTCTCCTTAAAAAGGACCCAAGGCAGCTTACATCATTAAATACAGTGTTTAAAACTAAAAACAGCAGTGAGTATACAAATACTAAAAAAACAGAGATGGACACAACCTGCTGAACTGAGGGTTTGTGCCAGTTCAGTGGATGATAGAACAGGTGTTCTGTGGTTCGGTGCCCCCATCCCTCTAGTGGGCACCGACTCGGAAGCAACACCTCAGCTTCCCTGCCTGTTAGTGCCCACCGCTACTAAAAAGGACCAAATACGTAGATCCTAAACTAAAAAACGTAATCAGCACCTGCTGATTGGTGTTTTTTTTTTTTAATGGATCGTTGTACGTTACTGCATTGAAGGTGTTTTGGTGATAATTAAGGGGTGTTTTTTTATTGTATTCATTGATCGTTTTAGTATTGTATACTCACTATTGTTAGCTTTAATACTGTCTTTTATTTGTTTTAAGCCACCTTGTGTCATTTTCAAGGAGAAAAGTGAGTTAAAATATTTAAAATGAATATATAATAAACAAATTCAAAGCAATAAGACACAATAGTTCATTTAAAACCCCACTCAGGCAACCAGTCACTGAGGGAGACCTTGCCTGCTTGCGGAAGGACAGCAAAGATGGGGTCAGCCTAGCCTCTTGTGGGAGGGGGTTCCAGAGTCTTGGGGGCAGCAACAGAGAAGGACCTCTCTCGGGTCCAAACCAAACACACTTGTGAAGGTGGTGCGGCCAAGAGAAAGGCCTCTCCAGATGATCGCTGAATAAATAAATAAATAACACTCGAACAGTCTCATAAAGAGAGATGTAGTCCCTGAGATAGCTTTGACCCAAGCTGTTTGGAGCTTTATAGGTTAGAACCAAAACTTTGAATTCTGCCTTTAGATGGATCAGCAGCCAGTGGAGCTGCTGTAACACGGGAGGTTAAGTGATCCCTGCAACCAGCTTCAGTTAGCAATCTGGCTGCTGAGTTCTGGACCTGCTGAAGATTAACCACTCCCTCAAGCCTCCCATAGAAATCTTAAGGACTAATTCAATGTAAAGGAGAATAAGTATTTTCTGAGCTCTTCTCTCTTATGTACAATGGGGTCCTCTTTAAAGATATAGGCTTGAGCTCATGTTTACCTTCCATGCAGCAATCACAGAACAAAGAATGTAAAATATGTGACAGGTAGTGGAAGAAAGCCATGTGCTATGACAAACAGATGTCTTTTTATCCCTTGAGGGAGCACTTCTTCTAAATATGTGCTGTCTTATCTAGTTTTACCCTCAACTTTTTCACGTATCATAGACGCTTCAAAGATCCCACCCCTCTCTAAATTTCACTGGAGATTTTTATAGAGCTGTTCTGCTTCTTTGGCTATCAGAAACTTCAGATTGCCCTCTTTATCTTATGGGAGTTTAAAAATTTTTTCTTTATTATTATTTTTTTACACAGACTTCGAGTTATGCCGACAATTCTCAAAGAAAGCCAGCAAGAACCTCCGCCTGGTCACTGACTGCATAGAGCATGCCCTGACATCCCGATATCCCCGCACTCGTTACTCTGCAGGCTGGGATGCAAAACTCTTCTTCCTTCCTCTCTCTTACTTGCCAACTTCAGTGGCAGACTATGTGATCATCCACTTTCTTCCAAGGCCAGCACAGGCAGTGTAGATCATTTTACAAAAGCAGCACTGGGACAGTCCGTAGTGGGTTGATAAGCAGCGTGGATGGCAATTAACATCAGTTAAATAAATGAAATCAAAGTGCCTGGTTTATTTTTAACTGGGGAATTTTCTCAAGTTTCTGGATCACTTTAGAACCACGGTTGTCAACATGACAGCTTATAATCATGTCACACAGCTGTTAGCATGGAAGCAACTCGACAGCACATAAACATACCACAGATGGTGACCAGGGAGTCCCCCTCTCCACCCAGCTCTCAGCAGTCTTCATTTCCCTGACTATTTAGCGAGACAGGGAAGCAAGAAATGTCAGCACGGAGACTTATGGAAGGAAGCTGTATTATAGCTATGCGGCTAGGCAGCCAGACAAACCTGGACTATACATTTATGGGTGATACGGGGCTTCTGAGTATTGCTCTTAGCATGTAATGGCACTACTTCATCAATAGAATATGGGGACAGACAAGGGCAAGGGTCCAAGCAACATCATCTTCCATTTGTCTCCCTCTAGTGTTCCCCACCCCTTCACGGATTGCTGTCTTGTTGTGGCGAAGGGGATGAGTAATTTGGAGGATCTATGGGCTATGCCGTGCAGGGACACCAAAGATGGACATGTCATGGTGGAGAGTTCCAACTAAACGCAATCCACCCGGAGGAGGAACTGGCAATGCCACTCCAGAATCTTTGCCAAGAAAATTCCATGGACAGAAACAAAAGGCTAAAAGATATAACGTTGGAAGATGAGCCCCTCAGGTCGGAAGGCGTCCAACATGCTACTG